GATGGCGCAATTTGTTCTAAAAATAGAATTATTGTCCCATACCATGGGGACAACCCCAATACTTGAAATGGCGCGCGCTTACGGTCTCCGTCCCCGATTATGGCTCCTGGAATCATGTTATACCAAAGGAGCTATCAACTGGGGCTATCAACTCTTCAACTTGATGAAAAGCATCTTCAGAAGCGTCATCGTTTTTTAGACGTGATCGTAAACCAAGTAGAATCCCAGCACGAACTCAAGAACGTCTGAGCAGCAAGAGCATAAAGGTTAGAGAATTTGTTTACGAATGTATCTGTTCGAGTACACCTGAGTAAAACGCCCTGAGAAACTTCGTAAAGTATAATAAAGTTCAAATCTCGAATTAAACGATATTCTCTCGTTATTTTCTTGTAACAGAGTTATGTGTCTTTACAAGAATGAAACCCAAATAGCGAATTGTTATGGATTTAAGCTGAAAGAAACTAATGTATGTTGACCCCAGCAAAACAATTCTTGGCTTGCACTGTCACGCAATCCTGACACAATAAAAAAATTATTCCAAAACCATTTAGTGGATAAAGTCAAGAAATTGTGATGTTATAGGAGATTTAATGAAGATGACACTTCTCTAACTTTTACGTCTGTGCGATTTTCCAAACCTCAGATATTCGTCCAAATATTTTACACAAATTTACAGAGCCCAGTTTGGAGCCGCCATGTTGGTGCACCAACATTGCGGCCGGGAAATATTGTAAACACCTGGAACTTACTTTGGCTATCTAGGCGACTGATTATCTGTATTGAACTAAAAAGCTTTTACATAAGCACTTTTCCTAATACTTTAACTTCTGAATGGGTTAAAAATCACGAGATAAGTACATGTTTTTCGACAAACGCGTTCGTAGCTCTATGTCACGCACCGCCATAACTCTGAAATTCAAAATGTCTTCCTTGCTTGGGAAACGCAAAAAAAAACCAAACAAACAACAGCAACAACAACAACGACAAAGGCTAAGGAAAATAGACTGAAATTTTTATAGGCTGATATAAAGACCTTGACTCATTTCACGCCCTAAAGGCCTGCGAACGAGTAATAAGCTATTAATCGATTCCAAGAAATGCAATCAAAGGCAGAATAACTTGAGCACATCGATTCGATTGAATTTCTTACGACTTCAAATGCAGAACATTTAGCTCAATTGCAATATAGCTAGTGCTTCTCAGTATAACGACTGCCTGGGTACACGCAGCAAAGCGTCTAGTTTTTAAAGCACAGTTGAAAGGCACAGGCGTTTTGACGGCATTCATTGGGTCTTAATGTAACATAGCGAGTTTGCGACTTCTTTGTTTTTTGTGATAAGTTGACTGTGATTTTAAAACAATATCCTTCTCATAACAACATAATATCGTTTCTGATTTTTAATAATCCTATAGTTTTTCATCACAAAATGAACACAACATAATTTCAACATTTTTAAGTTCATCATGAACCTCTTGATCACACACATACTGTTATATGAGACATTACTCAATGATTGACTGTTTATTTCTACTAAACGATGTGACGTCACGCCACAGTTGTGTCAGCTTACACCTTGCAAGTTTCACAGACGTTTTGGCAATAAAACCCACCGATGATTTCTACATCGATATCTCTTTCATGGCCAGTGTCATTCACATCTTCTAAATCCAAATCATCCATCAAATCGGTTGAACCAGTTTCACTCTCAGCCATTTTTAAAATTAAACTAATTCTTCATGACCTTCTAAATTCTCTTGATATACAACTGATATTTTTAGGGAATTTTCCCTTGTCTTCTGTTTACCTGCAAACATCATCAATTGTGACTGGTTGAAAAAAATCCCGAGATAGTCTTATGACGATCATACGACCTTGAAAACAATAGGGCAAGTTCAGACCTGTTAGCGGGGAACCCACTATTTTGTTTCCGTGTATTTAGTCACACAACAATAGTTCCTTCTTGTTTTTCCGAGAATGTCACGGTATGTGAATTCTTTCCTGTTTTCTGCAGAATTTCAAACAATACAATGCATTTAGAATTCAAACGCAAAATCTGCTGCAGCACCCCCATGAAAAAATTACATATAGTTTAAATTATCAGATTTTAAAATCAACTCATCCAAAAATTTGAAACCAATAATGAGATAGTAGGATAGCGTTGGCTTTGTATGAGATCATTTTCCAAAATTGATGTCGTACCACCAACTCCGGCACTACTTCTAAGTTCCTCTTTAGTCACTTGTGTCACAAGCTTTGACATCCTCGGAAACAATAGTGAGGGGTTGAGGACTTTGTTTTACAATATGCTTATTCTTAATGCAATCCTTTCTTGGAAAACGTTCGCATAATCAACTTTAATGACGCCAGCTAGGTAATGACCTCTTGTGTTGTTGGAGCAAGTATCACAGTATCACTTTCTGTTCGGTTGAGGTTCTATCCACAGATTGCTGGTGCCTATGACTATTTTCTGATTTTTCAAGTGATTGGCTTTACTTAAAAAACCTTTTTTAATACTATTCCACTTCACCCGATAATGTGCGACTTAATGCTTCTTAAGAAATTCTAACCTGGAAATCATCAACAGAGCCAGATTTGTTTTTTCGCTTTCGAATTGACCTAGCCTAGGTTATTTTAAGCCTAAAGTTCCTGTTTATTCGCGCTGAGTCAAGTCACGTTCCGTATAACTGTCGATTTACTGACAATTTCATACGTTTTCATTGTCAGCCTGCCCTCAGGCTGGTGCAAAAATGATTTATCCCAGAAATTACAATGGGCTAATAATTTAATGTGTTAGTGCTGTCCGAGATAAGGTAAGTTAAGCCATAGGCTTTGTCCTTTCCCTAGTGTCTATTTTTAAACTGGCGGCACCCATTCAGTATTAAATGCTGCTGATTGGTCACATTATTTTGGCAACAGATAAATAGCAATTGGAAGTGGGGAGTGTCTTATTCAGCGCTCAACTCCAACATTGAGGTACGGAAACTTTTGGTGAGAACGTCAAAAGACTGAGGTAAGGCCTTCCGTTAGATGTCATATTTGTAGCGTTAATTGGACATAAAATTATGAACTCCTTTGCTTGAAAAAGCGCGTCTAAAATGTAACGTCAGTATGTCCAATCGACAGCCTCCAACAAGCTGCGGCTGATGCACGAACGAGTTCGCGACTTCCGCCTAGCGGACCCAACTCAAAATAACGTAACTTCGCTTCTGTCAGTAGTCTATTTATTTGGAACCTTCGGCTGTATAACAACACTTCCGGGTTCAAGGTATGAACTAATAGCACTCTTTTCGTTTGTTTCGTTTCATCAGATTTAGTAAGCCAGTCACATTTTGCAGAGGCCTAATGGCACAGATCAAGAAATTCTATGCTTGGATTGGCCCAAGTAACGGTTATGCAGCTCTTAACTGGCATGCTAGTCAACCAGCAAAGTATGACTGGGTAGGACTCTACGCTAATGAGCAGAAACAAGAGGAAGACTACCTGGGTTACCAATGGGTTTCCAATGGCTGCCCTTATGTCACAAGTACCATCATCACTGATGGACTCAACGCAAGATACTTCACTTGGGTTGGAGATTCATCACATTGCAGTCCCCAGGTATCACTCGATGAAGTCAACGATCAGGGACAACTCGTAGTAACGCCCGCTTCACTAATTGCTTCCGTTTCAGGTAAGATTAACGAGCATCGTTATGGAGTTTGTTGTGTCAAACAGGTTTTAAAATCCTTTTTCAATGCCTCGTACACAAATGTCTCTGCAAAGCTAAGACTGCATGAAGGTATCAATATTAGGGCATATACGTATTCTTCGTATAGCGATGTTTCTTGTTGATAAACATTGACGTCATTTTCGATCGCGTGCACCAAAATCACTCTTGCTTGGCCTGTTTGGTGGTTGGTAAAAGAGCTTACGAACGGGTGAAATCCTTTGCTGGCAGTCGAATTTCCAAGTCGTTAGAAATTTTTAATTTTTACGTTATCGAAACATCACCGATGCGAATGGAAAGATCACCTCAAAATTAGTGATGTGAATAAACTATCGCATTAAAGCAAAGGGACCGTTGATCGAAGAACATTCACATTCCATCAAGTTCTCTTGTTATCCTCCCTTTTTGCCAACCACGGTACCGCGTTAGAATGATCGTGACAGGACTCGTGACGTCACGAGAAACATCGCTATTGAACCGGATCTAACAATCTAGTTATTATCAAGGATGAAATCGAGACTCTTGCGAGGGAATACATTTACAGATGAAAAGATCCCCCTGTTAAAGCTTCGAGTGCAAGCTAGTTCCAGCTCCTTTCTTGCACGAGCGTGCTGTTTCATAATTCTCTTGATTTCATTGAGAGAAAAAGAACAAAACGTTAACATTTTTATTCTTTAATTGTTAACTCTTCCGTTGGTTTATCTCCAAATGAGCTATAACGACATAGCTGACATGTATAAACACCGTTTTAAGACATTTTCAGCGATAACTTCTTCCTGTTGACTTTGTTGATAGTAAAATCGCATCGAACTCCATCTGATAACTCCTGAGGGATGCGGATACCGGATAGAAAATTCTGTTGTAATCCTATATTTCGAGATACATTTACGATTTCTCCGACTTGTTCTCAAAGAATTAATATACAACTATGCTACTCTTTCATTTTAGGTTATTACAAGGAGCTAATGCGCACGAGTGCCTTGAATCTTCAAGCCGAAGTAAATGCTGCAGGTGAAGGCCAGCTGCAACCTGGATGCTGGGTAACTTGTTCTCCAAAGGGTTATGCCGTTCTCAACTGGACGGCGGCCAAATCTCAAGGTGACTCCGATTGGGTTGCACTTTACCAAGACATCAACAAGGGCAACGGTGATTACATCTCGCGTGCATGGCAGTGGGCAATTAAAAGCTCCCCTTACATTACTTCACAGGCATTCGTACCTGGCATCCATGCCAGGTATATCAAACAGGGTAGCCCTTATGTTGCCCTAAGGCGCTCAAAACCAATCGCTGCCAGCTATTTTGACCTGGAAAACATGTACGTTCCAACAGAAATAGAACTCATGGAAACCACCGACACTGACGTGAGTAAGATCTTGAAAATCATGGCAGACCAGTTGCACAAGGCTGTGAATGGAGAGCCTTCTGTCTTTTCTCCAGGCATATGGCCATTTGGCGACAACTTGCTGTATAAGAATCTCTCCTATCAAGAAGTCAAAGTCATTGGCAAGTATCTCCAACCATCGCAGTACTATGATGTGATCATGGTTTATTATGAGACCTACAGGATGGCAATCCAGATTGCTGATGATGGTGAGCGCAATGCAAAACGCCACGCCTTTTGGCAGATCTCCATGATGCAGAAATTTGGGGAAAACTTCGCCAAAGAAATCGGCAACGCCCACGAGAGGGGACGCCCTGGTACAAAGGAGGATAACCGCGTGGATGACCTCAACAATGCAGCTGCTCTTCAGTACGCGAAGGATCACCCTGGTGTCGATCCTGCTACAGCTGCCAACCAGATGTGGTCCAGTGGGCTGCTTGCCGACTACAACGACAAGGTAGCACCCGAGCACACAAGAGATGAACTGTAACTTTTTCTACTATGAAAATGTAACAATTGAAAACAAAAAAACACCTTCATTTTCAAATACGGATTTGTTAACCGAGATAACCATGTTACCTTCGAGATAACTTTAAATTTGTAAACTCAAAAAGACTTGTTACTGTTATTACTTAATTTAAAGCGCCCAAGGCTATCAGCGGATCTAGTGCCATAAAAATGTTACAGTATTGTTTTCGTTAATATTCTGATAGACGCATTTTAATGTTAACCGTTGCCAGGAAAAATGAAACATATGCAAGTAGATTTATAGCTCAATATGTAAGCCCTTGAGTTTGGTGATTGTGTTTGTTGAACAGTCTTAAAATGTAACGAGGCACCCAGTGAAAGAGTTCAATTTTTTTTTTTCCCATAGGGTTTCTTTTTTGTTTAAAACAGGCCCCACGGTTCGGATAATTTTAGACCCGGCGACTGAGGGATACTCAGGGAAATTACAGAGAAATTAGTGACCCCAGTATGGTGCGAGGCCTTTTTGGTTTTCTAAATGTGCAATTTGGATACTTTCTGGGGGTTTCAAAAACATCAACGCGTAGTCTTCACAACTCTGACTGCAGATCGATTGAAGACTCTGGCCGTTTCGTACCACGTACTTCCAATGTTTATCCAACCAATCTTGCAGGGGTTGGGTGGTCAAGTACGTTCCCAAAGGGAACGCGGAACTGTCCATGACCTCACAAACATTGTCCTGCGTCCATAGGGCAATTCAATGACGACCCGCTTTTCCTTGGGGATCCGTGCTCACGATGTAAGCTCTGGGTCCTTTCTTGTCGGGTTTGTCGGGTAATCGATCGCAGGGAAGGGTCCCGTGAAAGTAAGGGGCCAAACTGGGTTGACTCTTGGCCAACAGATCCAACTGTACGTTATTCAAAGTCCCTTTTCCATGTTTTTCTTTTTTTCACTGTTGATACACGTCGTACCGGACCATCTTGTTATGTTTATCCAAGTGTTTATCATGAGTAGAATGATATGAAATTAACACAGCACCAACAAAACATAACATGAGGTAAGCGTTTTCTGTTGACTGAGTATCTGTCCTACATTCTACAAGCGTGCTACGTATTCAGAACGATCTAAAACGCACACAGCGATGTTTAAGCGTACGTGTATTCCATTCCACAAACATGCGGCTTATTAACCTTGTTCTAAAACTCTCCTAATCGTCTCTCCAAGCGAGCCTCGGGAAAAGTCACGACCGATATGAGATTAACGAAACACAAAAATAGATAACAAACTGCAATATTTCGTTCTCAGAGCGTTTGTTCTATGCAGATTAAAATGAGTATCGAAAGCATACGTTGGACAAGTATTTCCCAGTCTGCGTCGCAGACGCAACCTAGCGCGAGTTACTTATTTACCGGTAAATGTCTGCGACTTAGGCTAGTATAACCAAGCGCGAGTTTTGGGAAAGGTCATGAAAGCAGAATGATTTGAGATTATTATAACGTAACACCACAAGAAATAACAAAAGGCAATATTTCGTTCTCAAAGCGTTTGTTCTTTTCAAATTTCCGTCTGCGACTTAGGCTAGTATAACCAAGCGCGAGTTTTGGGAAAGGTCACAAATGCACAATGATATGAGATTAGCGTAACACTACAAGAAATAACAAATAGCAATGTTCCGTTCTAAAAGCGTTTGTTCTTTGCAGATTAACAGGAGTATAAATGGGCAGGGCTTTTAAAAAGTCGACTGCACACGTCAAAAGCGGGAGGAATATATTCCATTCCACAAACATGCAGCATAGTAACCTCGTTCAAAGCTCTTCTAATCTTCTCACCGAGCGTGCCTCGGTGCCTGGTGTTTTCATATCCCTTGTTCTATGCGAATAAAATCAGTATCAAAGCACGCATTTGACCAAAATATTCTTATTGACTTCTTTGAAGCTTGCTTTGATAAAGGTTGAGCCCTGAAATTTAAAATCCAGTTTTCCTGTACTCAAGGCATTTGTTTAAAGCGACAGGGTGTATTTTTGGAGGGCAACAAAACCATTTGATATAAACTCTACATCTTCAGTTCGGTGAAGGTTGTTACAAAATGAAATGAAATTAAATTAAACTTAGTAACAGGAAGTGCCAAGATAAACACGCATATTCTTATTGACCTCCTTGAAGCTTGCTTTAGAGAAAATTAAGCCCTGAATTTAAAATACAGTCTATATGTACCCAAGGCATTTGTTTAAAGCACTTAACAGGTTTTTAATTTTGGAGGGCAACAAAACCATTTCCCTCTTGAAAACTTGCTTTGGCGATGGTTAAGCCCTAAAATATAAAATCCAGTTTTCCTGTACCCAAGGCATTCGTTTAAAGCACTTAACAGGGTGTAATTTTGGAGGGCAACAAAACCATTTCTCTCTTTGAAGTTTGCTTTGATGAAGGTTAAGCCCTGAAATATAAAATCCAGTTTTCCTGTACCCAAGGCATT